TAACTGCCATCCCAGAACTTTATAATTCTTTGCTTTTGTGATTTGAACTTACCTTGATCAACGAAATATTAAATATATTCCCATAGTAAAATTTACAACAACACACGTAAGCGAACAGTATTATGTTTTCGTCAATTAGAACTTAACAGGCTTTGCTCTAATATACACAAAACTGATTTTGACAATATTGAAATCATCCAGAAAAATTTCAGTAATCACAAAGAACATCTAATATACGAAGCACTTCATATTCAGTGAACTCCAAAATTGGTTGGAGGATTTCATCATGAGCTGACATCAGTTAGAGAACCATTGAGAAACCAGCCAATGAGTACTGGACTGTCCTAGTTTGGGACGCACCCACACTGAGAGCTTCGAACCCACGACCTTCTGGTTACAAGGCGAACTAGCTCGAAGACCATTAATCCACTGGGAAACGATCCAATGGCCAGCTCATTAATTCTAACTTCTGCCAATTCATGACATAAAGCGACCACTTCACTGAGAAGTCTCAAACCAGGCTGACGAAACAGCTGTCAAGTACTCCCTGGCCGGCTTTTCAATGGTTCTCTAACTGATGTCACAGCTCATGATGAAATCCTCCAACCAATCAAATAAAATCCCCTGCAAAATCCAATACTTGAAAACTCCAAAATTGTCTGAATAGGAATGATTGGACTAAGACAGAATTCGACCTGATTGCAACACCCTCCTCCCCTCTAATGAAGTGACAAAATCAACACAAATGTGATGAGACATTTCGTACACTTATCAAATCCAACAATCTACCACACATTGTGTCTTTTTATCTTTACCAAATGACCAACTTGACAAGGTAAAGAAATCACCTCGGCTGAGATTTTGTGAATTCTAGTAGCTATTAGCATTCAATAGCGAATCGACTGTAGAAACAAGGATAATGAAAAAAGGGGTGATTAAATAGACAAATGTTCAGATAGACATAGTAGTCGATAAAGGTCAAGAAAAACAAATAATCCAATTAAGTAAATCAACTATATTTCAATGAAGATGTGATAAGATTAAGGGATGATAAGAGAGGGGTTGAAAATATAAGTAAGGGGTGGTGGTGGTGACGTTATCGGTTGGTTAGGTCTTAATAAGCAAACAAGGAAGAGGGTGGGTAATGGCTGTACGGGGACTTCTTTTGAATGAGCATAGTTTAGGCTTAATAGTTCGAATGTCTATCGCCTCAGCTATGTGCAGTAGACGAATACAAAGTCTATTGGAAAAGATTCGGTTGGATGCGATGATGATTAGTCACCTTGAATGCTTTCGTTTTCTCCACTACATGACCACTATCAACTAAATGTGACAAAACGGAGCTATGAATGGTTTTTGTCCTGTCCTGTCCTCTCTTTTACCAGAACACCATGAGAGATATTTAGTGACACGTTGGCTAAGCTGTTTAGTAGTACGGCTGACATAAATGTCTCCCCTGGAGCAGTTGAATTGATAAATACATATGGATGTCAACCTTGCCCATTCGCCTACTAGAAAATGACAAACACAAGTTTACTGTGTAAAATGTTCTTCGTATGATTCCGACTAGTCTCTGAAACGAAAGTGCACTCGACAAATCCTCATTAAATTGTAACTTCATAAATAATGGTTTTCTCTGTGATGTCATCGTCTCTAGTTGCCTATTCCATGTGTTCGTATGTTTCTTCATGATACTACTCAGACAGAAATACTCAATATCTGTTGACAGGTCGTTGACATGGACGCTTGGACGATGTACTGATACTAATTTGATGTTAATTAATTGATAGCGGCTAACCCTCTAACACTGACCAATTCAAAACACACAGCCATGGAAAGTCACTTTCACTGGTAACCATATTTAGACTAGGCGATAAGAAGACGTAATTTATCTGAATCGTGTAATGTTGTATTTACGCAACACATTTCGAACAATCTGATCACACACACGGACTTGTCATAAGAATATATATGAAATTAATAAAGAGTTAAGACGTGAGAAAATAGACTTAGGTCAAGTTAAAAGAACATATTGAAGGTCAAAATAACAATGAAGACCTCTGAACCAAAGAAGAGAGGTAATAGTACATCTGCTCTGGCTGGTACCAAAACAAAGTTTACCAAAGAAGGTGGTTTAGTGTGATGACGAATTGTTTTTGAACTCATAAAGGTGGTTTAAACTTCCTAATTGCCAGCTAGGGCTTCCACAAACTTGAGGATACGCTCCAAACACGTTTTATAGATAGGTTTAAAAGATGTGTGAACATCAATTTTATGTCCTGTCTCTATAATATGTTTCGCAGTTGAGGAGATAGGTCATCTGTTCTCACCATTGATGGGTTCTGGGGATTCTGTTTGCTTCTGAAGCCATTTAGGAATATGCTCTGAAGCCAGCCCTTACTTGCAGAGATCGATGAGTCCTCCCTATGTATGTGTGTCCACACGTACATTCAAATTGGTAAATACAGTGGGATGTGACATCATTTTTCGCATGTTCAAAGGGCTTAGATGGATATATTGGCTTCACATTCTCAATTATTATGATCTTAGCTGCATAGAAAAGTCTTTCTAACCACAGCATTCAACCGTTGTCGAGTTACCAAGCTACTGTGATCACCAATATAGGGTAGCCTGATAAATACGTCTTTCTTAGTGGCGAGTCGGAGAGTGGGTCTTGGTGTTCCACTGACTACTTTATATTTCCTAATGAACATGTCTGGATAATTATTATCAACCAGAGTTTGTGTCAACTTTCTTTCTTCCTCATCAAGTAGGTCTTCAGTGCATATTCGTAGGATTCTACTGAAGAGGCACTTCACTCACTAAGGCTCTTTCGTACCGAGCAGGGCAGAAACTGTGATAATTAAGATACTGTCCTTTCCTGGTAGGTTTTCTATAAATTGATCGTTTTATTGATCCATCGGGCTGTCGACTAAGCAATATGTCATTTAGGAAAGATAAACAATTATCTTCCTCTTCTACAGACGTAAGTGATATACTTGCTATTCTGAACTTCATTCATTCGATTTAAAATTGAGGTGGCAGAACAAGGATTATCACTTATGATTACAATGTCGTTGACATATATCTTCCATAAAAAGGTGCATTTCCCGTAGTTTCATAAACTTCCAATATACGATAGATAGATATCTGCTAAAAAGGGCCCCTGACGGAAGCAATCGCCTTCAAATGTGAACCAAGCCAAGCGGATATCACGTTTACTAAGCCAGAGATGGAGTAAGTCGGCAGGCAAATGTAAAACGAGACTTCTGCATCCGTGCTCTGATTTCATCAGCGATTGGCCGGCTGATGAAAATTCCAAATAATTTAAGTGATCAACACGCTCCACCAACCACTCCACTCCTGCCTATCTCTAAGCTGGCAGTGAGTCGATATAGTCTTGTCTAGTGCAGTCCAGTCCTGTAGTATCACCATCTTACATTTGATAGGAGTTCGTGAATCGCATTCCAAACATTCGAAGATTGCTGCTCAGCTCAAGGTGTTCACAAGACTCTACTGTATTTTGTCAGCATCTTCACCTAGGAGAGAGGACTATATCATCTGCATATTCTAAGTCAATGAGACTATTATTCCCTAATGGTAACAAGTCAATCAATCCGTGAGTCTCTGAATTCAAATGTAGTTAAGTCCATTAGTACATCTATGATGAAATTAAACAGAAATGGGGACAGTGGACATCCCTGACGGACACCAGTAGTTGTCACCACTTCAGATGACAACTCGCCGTAAGCTCTCAACTGGCTGACTGCATGAGTTCGAGTAGAGTGAGTGCCTTGATCAGTGCAATGTATTTTCTCGTCATTCCCTTCACAGCCAAGCATCGCCATAGTATCTCTCGGTCGACAGAATCGAATGACGTCTTTAGGTCAAGAAATATCACGATTGTTGGACGCCGACGGTAAGTATGCCTATGTTCCATAATCTGTCGGAGGGTGAAGATATGATCAATACATCCTCTTCCTGGTCTAAAGCCTGCCTGGTTCTCTCGTGTTTGTTCCTCCCGAGCACCACTTAGTCTACGCATTATTATTGAGCCTAGAACTTTAGATACCAAATTAATCAAGCTAATCCCCCTGTGATTATCACAGGAAGACTTGTCTCCCTTCTTGTATATCGGGATAATCAATGACTTAAACCAACCCGACGGAAATTCCTGATTCCTAGACTCTACTTAATACCTTAGTTAACGTAGACAGTAAACTGTCTCCACCGTACTTAAACACCTCTGCAGTCACTCCACCAAGTCACACAGCTTTGCCTCGTTTCAGACTAGTGAAGGCTTTCTTAACCTCAGCTAGGGACGGAGGAGCTGATCTCTATCTCCCATTCAGGGAGATGTTGGATGTTCGGTAGGCTGAGAGTAGCTGTAGGCCAGTTAAACTGCTCCTCAAAGTGTTCTTTCCAACATCCCAGTCGTCTATCCTAATCACGGCGCAATGTTTCTCGGAGATTATTTCACTTATCATTTGCCTTTTACCACCTGTTTCCCTGATAAGTCTAAATAGTTGTCTAGTGTTACCTATCGCCGATGCCTTTTCCATCTTTTTCTCTGTCGTCGTCCAACACTCTTCACGGTAGTTACAAAAACTTCTTATTAGTTTACGTTTAAGCAGCTTTCGCTCCTCATCATATTCGGAGCTCGCCGGAATCAGTCTTCTTGTGTCAGTCAGTTCGGACGAGGTAGTAGAAATCCACTGGCTGTTACTAACTTTTAGTTTTACGCTATTAACAGCCTTTACACCTGTGTCTACAGATAACTAACTGTATGTTGTGCCAGGCTTCCTCAGGAGGAGTCCAACTGTCGACGTCGGATACTCGTTACGCTATTTCTTCCTTAAATAAGGACTCGACGATACACTGAAAAGAGTCTCTCTTCGCTGAACGCCATCGGAGGAATTGGATAAAAGACACTACATCTAATCTCGTCTTATTACTCAAGGATTATCGATTATTCGTTATCATAACACAAATGAAACGGTAATTCTTCCTTCAGAAATATTTAGGTTAGTGTATTAATAATCAAGAATTCATAAAAATGGAGAGCAAGAGCGACCATAATATGATACGTGTTATGCAAAAAATATCAAATTTAATTGGATTTGTGTCTGTGTATGAACGAAGCACACAGTGATGGAGTAGTGACAATTGATTAATTCTCAAGAATTCTTCACCGAAATAGGCATCGAGATGACTTTTGTTTGTACATAACCATCAATTGCTTCTTTCCCACTAAAACACACAACAAAAACAACAAAAAATATATGAAGAAACATTATATGAGACAAACGGAACGTGGATGGATATCGATTTTATCATAAATACTTTTATTTATTCCTTTACGTTCCCACTGGTGGAACATAGGGCTTCAAGCTGGAGATTTGAAGTGTCAGTAGCAACAGTGTTTATTTTTACGAGGTGGGGTTGCTAGCCTCACGCCCAACCACCTTCCCTGTCTTATTATTGGCTTAACGAGGTGAGGGAGTGCGTCGACCGGGGATAGAACCTCGGACCACATACATGGTCGGCGAGCATTCTATCGCTAAGCCACTGACACACATCATAAATATTGAATGAAATAAAAATTTTGGAGTTACACAATCACTACAGAGTAGTGGAGAATGAAGAGTAAACAGTCAGTCAGATAGATGTAGCTGTTTACATAAACTCCCGACACCCTCCCCCCGCCCATACACACACCACTGAGACCATCACAATTTCTTCAACTGGCTTGATTCATCAATCCTGTTAAGGAAATGTTACATAACCAGTTGAATAGATTTTCCCCTCGAGATCTAGAAATCATTTATCCCTTTTCAACTAATCACAATGACCAATTGCCGCTGAAAGTTAAACCACTTCAACGAACACTCTGGACTCAGCATCATTGTATACGTATCTTAGACTAGAAACCAGTTAATCAGTAGTTTAAGCATCAGGATTAAGAGATCTGTGTTAAATAAGTGAATACTATTCATTTCAATTTGAATTCTCCCTCTGATTGGTTGGTTGGTTGACTGACTGATAGGACTGAAGTGCTCCGCCTCAGGTTGACATGTCGGCGCTCCTTGTGTAGATGCTTCGATGATGTCTGATTATTCAACTTGAATTAAACTGGGTGGACGATGACTATCAGTGGAATCAAGGACAACGCGCACTTCGTCCTATTTCGGACTCATCATGTGTATGTAACTGCATTTCCCAGTGGGAACATCACCATTTACTGGGGAATGCAGGTACATCCAGTTAGCTGACGAGTCTCAAATAGGACGAAATGCGCGTTGTCCTGGATTCCACTGCTAGTCACCAGTCACCAACTTACTTTAACTGAATTCTACTTGAGAACATGACACCATGAGTGTTTATACTACAAGATGGACCTGACCTTATTGCTTCCCTCTGTGAATTTGGACATTTCACGCGCGCGCTCACACACACACACAATTTATAAAATCTATACCACCATATCTGTCCAAAGTGTTTTACCCAGTTTAAGTATTGATTATTCTCTAAAATTATTCATATGATAAGTAAGATGTGTGCCTAAATTATCTCGATAATGCTCGTGTGAGCTTATAGTGTGTGAAACAGAGAGAGTGAAGATATGCGGCGAAGCCTTTGAAACGACCGAATTACTGCTCTTGCACAGAATAAGACGACAGAGTTGACAGTGAAGTAATTTGGAAACTACTTCAACACACAGTATGCAGTGCAGTGACCCAAATCTTTATTAACCTCATTCAACAAGTAGCTGTGCGACAATGTCACGTGTCAGGAGATCCACAACGGAAAAGTCAGAGAGGCGTTGGAAGTGAAGACAGAAGTAATACAAGGCTACTTGCTTACATCCGGCTATCGACCAAAGGGCGGGTGTACTGCTCAACAGTCCGCTCCATCCTCCTTTATGGCTGTGAGACCTGGCCATTGAGAGTGGAAGACATGAAAAGCCCAGTCATCTGTCTTTGATCATAGGTGCCTGCGTTCTATCTCCCGTGTGAAGTGATATAATAAGGTGAGCAATATTCAGGTTAGGCGTCGAGTGCTAGGTAAGGAGGGGAAATCAATCCACGAGGTTGTGAAGTTACATCGACTGAGTTGGTTAGGACATGTGTTACGTATGCCTGGCCATCGCCTTCCTCGACGGGAAGTGTTAGCTGACATAGGGTCAGACTGGAGAGGAGCTAGAGGCGGTCAAACGAAAACATGGCACCAGTCAATGAAATCTACAACAGTCAGTTTAAGCCAGCCAGGTAGGAAGGTGTAGACTTCCTGACTAGTTGGGGTCCTCGGGACGGTAAAAACCAATGAAGACTGGAAACAATTGGCAACATGGCTCAAAATCGTTCTCAGTGGCTGGCGCAGATGCAACCACCTCTTGTGACTTATGATTTCCAATGAGACTGTTTTGTTCCTCGTTATTACTATTCCTTTGTCGCACACCTCTGTTTACTGTCTCTAATATGCATTTCTTCTACTTTCTTCTCTTGCTTTGCGTGCTACATGGAGTGGAGTGTGGTGACTTGAACTGCCGCACATCGGTGCAAAGTTCTATGTCGTAAACAGACAGACAGACAGACTTGCTTACTATCACCGATGATATCCTTACCTGTAGTCGACTGGATTATGCGTCAGACTATGCACAGGGAGTGAGAAGACAGGAATACACTGGACTGACCGATGAGAAGAAACTAGAAGATGTGGATTTCGCAGATGATTTCTGTTCAATGTCTATCAAACTCGACGACATACAGACGAGAACCAACAAGTTCGTAGAAGAAGAAGAAGCAGGGGGAGTAACCACTATCCACAGGAGAAATTTGAAAGAGGTAACTTCCTCCACTTATCTGAACAACCAGGCAGCATCGTTTCAACTACAGGCAGCCAGCACGGATGAGGATGTCAAAACCAGCCAGGCAGAATCGGAAAGGCAAGACGGCCCTTTATCACTCTGGAATCAGTTTCGAAATCTACCAGGCAGACTCAGCATACACAACGAGATCAGAATTTTCAACACCAAGGTTGTTAAGTCAGTCAGCCAGTTCTTCTATATGGGTCAGATAATCGGCGAAGACATCAAGAAAGACATTTTCCAGAAGGCTGAAGCAAACTTTTATCAACAGCTGTCTTCCCCGGCCTCATAGAAAAGATTAAATGATCAACTAGCAAGGATTAGCAAAAAATAACTCCGTCAATGTACCAACCAAGAACCAATCGCCCATCAAATATGTCGAAGAAAATGGAGATGGGTCGGACACACTTCAAGGAGATCGTTGAGTAACCTAACGCGTTAGGCATACTCTCGAGTACTTTCATTGGACACTAGTATCTAGTGTGACGTGTCTAGTCCTTTCTTCGGTGCAGACTGAATTCTATCAGTTAGGTTTGCAATATGGCCACCATGCCACTAGGTGGCTCGCCATCACGGTGCACTGTATATTGTTGATATTAGATAGTTGGAGGTAATCTGCCACAGGAAGTCATGGACCTAGGTTTCGTCGTAGTTCACACTCGTCAGCAAGGTGTATCTGCAACCCTGAAGGAACTCATGTCCCTTCTGAGATTGGAACCCGCGTCACCCAGTGTTACTGACGAGTGCCAACTTTCACGAAACCTAGGTCCAAGGCTTCCTGTGGCCGATTGCCTACAACTATCTAATATCATCACTCTCGAGTGGAATCCCAATGGGAAGTGGCGAGTGGGTCGTCAGTACGAGGGTGAAATGGAGGAGATCGTGTGGCCAGGAGGAGGAGGAGGAGATGAGAGGTCATGGGCAATCCTGGATGCAGCTGAGAAGAACGACAGAAAATAGAAGAAAGTGAAGATCTGTTGTTGAAGCCGTATGTTCCACTCGGGACACAAAAGGAATAATAATAATAAAACAAGAACTCGTTTGTAGAAATAATACTTACAATTCACGTCCTATACCGGACATTTTAAATCCACCAAATGGAGCTTGTGGATAAACCATATTATAACTATTGATCCTTGAAAAATATTGAAAAAAAAAAGAAGAAAATCATTGAATTAGACATGGCGGATAGTTTAAAGAAAGATGAAATGTGAAATATCAGAATTAATAAATTTTCAGTTAAGTGAAATACTCAACTTATATTCGAAATATCACCCAGTAAATATTTACAAAAATACTGACAGTTTTTGCTTTGAATATGGCGAAAATAGTCATTCAAACATTTAAAAAAAACAAAATATTTAAGCAAAGAATATCCTTTTCAATAACTTCCCCTTCTGGCTCTACAATTATATATATATAGGTTATATGATTTTATCATGAACTGAAATCGGCTACAGAACCATTGGAAACCAACCTGGGAGTACTGGAAAGCTGTTTCGTCAGCCTAGTTTGTGACTCTTCATCAGCACTCGCCCACTGAGGTTTGAAGCCACGACCTTCTGGTTACAAGGCCAGTGAGCTCGTGGACCATTAAGCCACTGCGACCGGATCCAATAGTCACAGTCCATGAATTCCAACTTCTGCCAATTCATGATATGGTGCGACGACTAACGAATATCATCGCTGGCGGGTATTTGTCCTCACGCCCTAGCTGCTGTACCCTACTGGTCACGACTTCCCACTAATAATAATAATAATAATAATAATCTACTTTATTCCAAAAACAGTACTTATAATACAGAATGGAATTCTCAGCATTTGTCACAATATTGCATCTGATTTACTCAAAATATAAATAAAATTAAAACAAAATTAACCAGAGGAATTTGTCCACATTTACGATATAAAGTCAAAAATATTCGAAGCACGAATTGAGAATAATAAATACAATAATAATAACAGTGAGTTTGTTTCAAACACTATTGTCGATTCAGTTTGGAAACTTTAGCATCTTATAGATCATTGGATCTAATGTTCTGTTGATATAGTAGTGAGGGGAAATACATAATTAACAGTTATAACACAGCTTAAATTATGTCCACACCTATGAAAAAATAAACAAAAACAAAAAATTGAAAGGATTATAAATATAAGAAGTACAATAATAATAAAGTTTGATGTTTTAAGGGTGGAGGAAATGGTTTATTTAATAGTGCAAAGAAGGTTAGTTAGTTCATGCCTGACACTGTTTTCATCACATAAAATACAAGCCATTACATGAATATCAATGAGATGCATACTAGCGACTGGCCCTATTCAGGTAGGTAGTTACCTGGGTTATAGTGGGAAGTTGTGACCAGTGGGTATAGCAAGTCGAAGGTGAGGACAGACAAATACTCGCCAGCGATCACGTTCATTAGTGGTCGTGTCATATCATGAATTATCAGAAGTTGGAATTCAATGGACTGACCATTGGATCAGGTCCCAGTGGCTTAATGGTCTACGAGCTACCTCACTGGCCTTGTAACTACAAGGTCCTGGGTGCGAACTTCAGTGGGTGTGTACTGACTGCTGAAGGGTACCAAAATAGGACGAGACAGCTGTCCAGCACTCCCTGCTAGTTCCCCAATGGTTCTCTAACCGATGTCAGTTCATGATGAAATCGTGAAACAAAATACATACTTCAGTGAAGTGTCTTTTCGGCAAATTCATTCAATTAGCTCTACAATCGCCACTATATATAATTATTTTTGCATGTATGTGTACAATAGCTTTGTCAGACAAGAATAAAAATTGGTTAGGGTTATTGTACAGATCATCAGAAAATTACCCCCCCCCCAAAAAAAAATGTGACGAATAATCAAATTGTAACCGGAGGTGGGGATTGAAATGGTTAGTGGTCAATGCATTAAAGGAGTTGAATAAGTGTATTACAGTACAGTTACGTAATAAACGAAATATTCCCATACTGAGTCATAAGAAAGAAAAAGACGTAAAAGAGTTAGTTAGCAAGAGTTAGAAAGGCAAACAAATAGGAGTCAAGTCATCGGAAATCGACAAGACTGTTACCATGGTAGTAGAAGTGGTTGAATAATTTCCTTGCGAACGCATAGCTCCTGTTTTTCTCTCTTCGAATGATTAAAACTTCAGCAATGCACAGAGGAGACGAAAGCGTATTGCCCTTGGTAGCAGACATTTGTTGAGATAGAATGGCTAGTGTTGACAAGGTGTTCGATTATCGCATTCCTTATAGAGCCACTGCTATCTGTCTGTCTGGATTCAACATAGAACTTGGCACCAAAGTGCAGCAGTTCGAGTTGCCACGTTCCAAATAGCACACAAAGGTAGACAAGAAAATGAGTGAAGAGAATAAATAGAGTTTTGACAAGTATAAGAGTGAAACAGAATGAGTAATGGTAGAAAGGAGTATGAAGGTTAAAGAGACTGAATACATCTGCGTAAGCCATTGACAACGACTTTGAGCCATGTCACCTATTGTCTCCAGCCATTGATTCTTAGAGTCCCGAGGGCCCCAACCCGGAAGTCTGCATCTCCCTCCCTACCTGACTCAGTTTAACTGTCAAGGATTTCATGGATTGATGCCATGTTTTTGTTTGGCCACCACTTACTCTTTTCCAACCTGCACCTATATCAGCTAGTAATGCCCATCTGGGGGGAGACGATGGTTAGGCATGCGCAGCACGTGGCCTAACCATCTCAATCTATGTAACTTTATAGCCTCTTCGAGTGATTTTCCCTCTCTGCCCAACACTCTACGCCTAACGTCAACATTACTTACCTTATTATACCACCTAACGTGAGAAAGAGATCGTAAACATCTGTGGTCAAAAACAGACAATCTCTTCATGTCTTCCGCTCTCAATGGCCACGTCTCACCGCCATAGAGAAGGACGGAGCGAACTGCTGAGCAGTATACACGTCCCTTGGTTGACAGCCGGATGTCACGCCTACGCCAGAGACGGTGTAAGTTAGCGAAAGCAGCCCTAGCTTTCTGGATCCGTGCTGTGATTTCGTCACCAATCAATCCGTTGGTGCTGATACAACTTCCCAAATAGGTGAAGTGGTCAACATGTTCTATCACTTCACTCCCTATCACGAAGCTAGGAGTTGACGTAGTCCAGTCTTGTAGCAGCATCTTACATTTCACAGGGGCGAATCGCATGCCAAACATACGAAGATTGCTGCTCAAGGTGTTCAGAAGACTCTGCATTTTGTCAGCGTCCTCCCCTAACAGGACTATGTCGTCTGCGTATTCTAAGTCTATAAGACTATTCCCTGGTAACAAGTCGATTCCTAAGTCGTTACGTTCGGTTAAGGATACTTCCATTAGCATATCTATGATGAAGTTAAACAGAAAAGGGGAAAGTGGACATCCCTGACGGACACCACTGGATGTTATCAATTCAGATGACAATTCCCCATAAGCCCTTACACAGCTACTTGAGTTTTAGTAGAGTGCCTTGATTAGTGCAATGTACTTTCTTGGCACTCCCTTCATAGTCAAACATTGCCATAGAACCTCTCGATCCACGGAGTTGAAGGCCGCTTTCAAGTCAAGAAATATGGCAATTGTTGGACGCCTAAAAGTGTGTCTATGTTCTAGGATCTGTCGGAGAGTGAAGATGTGATCTATGCACCCTCTACCTGGCCTAAAGCCTGCTTGGTTTTCCCTCGTTTGTTCCTCCCGAGTTCGGCTTAGCCTGTTCATAATTACTGAGCCTAGGATTTTAGAGACTATGTTCGTTAAGCTGATCCCCCTATGACAGCCACTGCTACTTTTCTGCAGGCAAAAGGGGTAGTGTTCCCGATGCGTTTTAGACAGGAGGTACGCGTCAAACGACCAATGTGTACCTCCTGGCTGGGTGCACAGCAACAGGTGAACTGAGTTGAATTGAACTCATTATATTGTTACTCAATGTATCATCTTACTCATCTCTTGTCCTTATTATGTAACTCTTTAGTCATTATATGCAAGCTTGAAGTCCGTGGGTATAAACTCTACATAAGTGTCATTGCTGAGTACCGTTCATTACGTTCATAAATAGGAAATAAGTGCATGAAGATGAATATTATTATTATTGCAACGTTCAAAATGCACTAAATGTAACACCAGCCATCATCTTTTTATAATATAAAGGCAAAAACACGAACCAACTCAAGTCTGTTAATCTTGTGCGTCGGTGGAACAGCAGTAGAATGCTCGCCAACCACGCCTCACGTGGTCCACGGTTCGATCCACGGTCGACACACTCTTTTACCTCGCTATGACAGTGGTGAAATTTGTAACGAAGAAAGGATGGCTAGCAACCACATCCCCCAAAAATAAGTAAACACCAACCACTGCTACAGAAATCCCGAAAACGCTCTAACCTGAAGGAATAAACAAAACAAAAAAACAACTGTTAATCTTACCAAACACTTCCAGCTTCTAAGCCTTCAGCAACTCTCATCGCTTTATCCATATCACTTGTTAGCACACCACCGCCTAATCCATAATGTGTTGCATTCGCTCGATCAATCACTTCTTCCAAGGTGTCAAATTTTAAAATACACTGAACTGGACCAAATATTTCATCTTTCGCTATGCACATTTCATCTTTAACATCAGCGAATACAGTCGGTTGAATAAAATACCCCTTCTGACCGATACGATTACCACCGGTGACTAATCGAGCACCTTCCACTTTGCCTTTTTCAATATATGACATCACTTTTTTGAATTGGACATCATCAATCTTAACGAAAAGGAAAGAAAAAAAATTTTGTAATACATGAGATCAGCATTGTCAGATTATTTACTTACTATACAGGTCAGATTGTCTACGTACGGGTCAAGGTCACAGATAATGGATAGGGAGGTAAGAAAGAAAGAAAAAACAGAAACTAAAGGAGGGGTTGAAAATATATTAAGGAGCAAATTAAACCTTGGTTCTAAATTGGATTACCAAGGCAGGTTTAAAGTAATCTCAAATAACATTTGAACACAGCAGACATGTTTAAGGCTTTTTATGGCCAAGACTGTCCTGTAAACCCTCACAGCATCCGAACGATAGTGTCACATCCCATTATGTTTATCAATTTACATGTATGTATGGACACACGTACATAGGGAGGACCCATCGGTCTCTTCAGGTTAATGCTACAGAACATATTCCAAAGTGGCTGAGACAACAAATAAAATCACCAGATACAACTGATCCTGGAAACAGATGTGTCCAACATCATCTATAGCGAAGTACATCATAGAGACGGGTCACAAGGTTTACTCCGGAGTAATACCTTTAAGCCCATATATAAAACAAGGTTGGGTCACATACTTATATTCGTTGAAGCCTTGGCCATAAAAAGGTTTGAACCTGCCTAATGTGTCCAAAAGTTATTTGTGATTACTTTAAACCTGCCTTGATAATACAATTTACTTCATAATATTTTTAACCCCTTCTTTGCTTTCTGTTTTTTCTATCTTTCTCAGCCACACCTTTGCGTCATCTCCCTACACAGCATTTCTCACCTTGGTATGTACACAATCATACCGTCTTGCCTTCTATATAACTGTTTATGACAAGAACGCGAGTGTGTGATCAGAATGTCCTAAATGTGTTTCGCAAATACGCACATTTCACGTTTCACTCACTCGCTTCACCGGTACATATACTAAAATTGGAACGATACAGAGAAGATCAACATGGCCCCTGTGCAATGGATGACACGCAAAATCGTGAAACGTTCCATATTTTTCCTGACCGATAGCTGCTACCTTGACGTGGTGGTCGCCGGGCTTGCACATCGCAATGATCCAACAAGCTACACTGGCTGGTACGAATGTTCCTGTAGGTCCTACCATTCCAGGAAGGTTGTTAGGATAGCGATTGGACTAAGAGCAGTTACCGGCATTGTGTAAGAATCTTTTTTACACTATGCTGGGGGTCTGAGGGCGAAGTCGTACTGCTGGGGAACAGGGATGTAACAGCAGTAAGGTGTTTCCCTCAGATGACCAACACGCCAGCCAGCTATGCTTTCTCTCCGCTCCGGAGAGAGGGGTGTTAGAAAACGTCTACCCCAAAACTTGTACATCCCTACTTACCCTACGGTGGTCCGTAACCGGTGGTAAGTTTACTGATACGGAACCGATCCCAGAAACCAGTTCATACAGGCCGCGTGTGACCGGCCTCAAGCAGTCATCCCCTGGGCTCTGCGGTCTGTTTCAGATACCCGAAGGATCACTCAGATAAACACTACGCCTTCTTATTGTGTTGTCGAAATTCATAAAGGGAACTAATTGCTTTAGATCATTTACTCATTTACGCATTCAGAAAACAAAATAACAAATTGAGCGAAGACATATGGATTCCTTCACTTCAATTAATTCCTCATCATCGACTAGCTCTACACGAATATATAGTTCTTCACATCAAAATTGTACCAACCACGTGGTTATTTCAGTCTGTCAGTTTTAGATATAGCGCGGGTGGGTGGGTGGTTGAAATTAAGAGGTTAAAAGTCATCAAGAATAGAAGTTTGATCACCCATCGATATGAGTGAGTGGGTGAATCATCGAAAACTAAGGGAGTACTGGACAGCTGTTTCGTCAGCTTAGTTTGGGAATCAGCAGTAGCTCACCAACTCGTAGCAGTTCGTCATCAAACTTGAAGTTCTGTTTTGACTCACTTGATTGATAGCGGTCACCGAGTGGACTTGAGAAGTGTCTTCAAAGCACCTTATATATCACATTCCATCGAACAACCTTTCAAAAGGAATTCGAACCCGCCTGCTAAACACATAGCCGAAGCTATGGGAATTAATTCGAGAGAACAATCCTAGTCTTTGCATACAAAAGAAGTTTGTTCTACCTTTGTCTCTCCCTTGGCCTAGGTGAACTGTATTCAAAAACCCTCCCACCCTTTCTTATTTTCCACTTCCTTTGTACTTTTATGATATTTATTTGAACTCTGATTATCTATCCACTTCACCTATAGTATGACCTAATTTATTTCTTCATTGAATTGTCTATATACACACAAATATTACTACCTTTGTTGTTCTTATTGCCATCTGCGTAAACCTTATTATCACTACAATCATCGTTATTACTGACACTCAAAACAATTAACACACGGCTGCGGTGACACCTATATAGGTAGAACCAACAGAATGTTCCAATGTGGTCGTTGAAAAGAACATGTTCCAAAATGGCTACAAAATCATATAGAAAATCCCAATGCAATTAATCTGAATACAAATCCAGCATCATCAATTGCAAAGCACTTATTAATGTCAGATCACAAAATCAATATTAATTAATGACAGCTTCACAAATATTTCTTCACATAAATCTAATTCAAGGTTGGTTATTGAAGGTGATGGAAGCACTTTTGGGGATTAATCACATACAGCCTAAACTGTGTGTACAAAAAACAATAGACTTCAATCTTCGCCTACCATGGACAACATGACCTATCTAAATATGATTGGTCATTAGTTTGTACTCTGGTTTTTTATTTAACTGAGTAATTGTCATGAACTTTATTTTATTTTATTATTGTTAACCATGTTAGTTGTAAAGAAACTACGAAATGAAGATATCATCTCGCGAAATTTGTCTTCTTAATGTCTTATTCGCGTCGGTGGCACAGCGGTCAGGACGCTAGCCGACCATGCACATGGTCCCTGGCCGACGCGCTCCTTTACCTCGCTAAGCCAGAAATAAAGCTGGCAAAGGGAAAAGGTTGGGCATGAGGCTAGCAACCTCATCCTGTAAAAATAAACACCACTAAAGAAACTTCGAGCCTCTAGCTTGAAGCACTATGTTCCACTGGGAACGTGAAGGAGTAAAAAAATTAAAAAATGGCTTATTCACATACTTATTTTTATTATTATTTGATCCACAAACTCACCGTCATTGGTTAATATTTTTATACATAAATCTACACAAATTAGAGTAAAGCCTGAAGATCTAATTGTTCGCTTATATGTCTTGTTCTAATGCTTACAATGGAAATATTTAAAGATTTGGAATCCTTACAAACAAATTCTTGAAAATTAATAGGTGTTAATAACAAGATATCTGAGTTTTGAAGGAGGGAATTCAAGATCAGTTGATTCTTAGGCGTTGGCAACAAGTTATTCCGTATTTAATTGGTGGATGGTGACTAGCAGTGGAATCCAGATCCAGGATGTGCATTTCGTCCCAGGTGGATGTGCCTGCATTCCCCAGTGAGTGATGATGTTCCCACCACCGAGGCTCGAACCCAATACCCACAGTTTCAAACGCCAACCAAAGCGTTATCCACACTAAACCACTTGGGCCATGAGAGCCACCTCTTGTTCAACGGGTCATATTAATTATTAAATTGAAACTATGGGCACTACGTCCGAGTCTCGGTGGGAACATCATCACTCACTGAGGAATGCAGGCACATCCAGATAGCTGACGAGTCCCAAATTGGACGAAATGCGCGTTATCCTGGATTCCACTGCTAGTCACCATCCACCAATTAAATTCTAATTACATGCCTAGACATCGTCGTCGAAGCATCTGCACAAGAAGCCTAAATGTCAACCTGAGACCGAGGAGCACTTCGGTCCAATCAATCAATGGACGGGAAAATCTAAAATTCAATTAAAAAGTTATTACGTAATCAAGAAATTTGTAAAATAGTAATGACGACTACGAAGAATAGGATGACTCATTAGAGTTACATAAAATACAAACAAGTTAATAGAATTAGCTAGAATTGTAAAAATTAACAGAGTCAAGAGATAGTTACAACGGGAGGGGAAATAAATCGGTTTTGAAAACTTAATACATATCATGTAGTTGGCCACGCCACAACAAAGAATGGCGCAGTACAAATTTCTCTTGAACACAACACGGATTTGGCTTGTTCAGATGAATTCCGATTGCCTCTGCTGTGTATGTAAAAGCCCTACTCGTAGACCATGCGAGTGGTTGGGTGATATACAATCAATAAACTATAGCCTCTTAATTTCTCCCACCCACCCCCCTACACATCCAAAACTGATGGACTAAAATAACCACGTGTTTGGTGAAATTTTGATGTTAGAACCAAATATTACTGTAGAACTAGCCAATGATGAGGAATTAATTGAAGTGAAGGAATGCATATTTCTTCGCTCAATGAGTGGGGCTTTTTCTAGATTACTTACTGATGTAATAGGTGGAACGAATATCTGACTTGTGGTAGGATTCCAACTACAGGCCTCCGAAGTATATTAGTCCGGTGTCCGGTGACATTGGCTGGTGACAGTCGCGCTAAATATATCACGAATTGGTAGCAGTTAGAATTCATAGGTTGATCAGTGAGTCGGATCCCAATGGCAGGATGGCCTACGAGCTTGCCTTGTAACCGGTAGGTCATGGGTTCAACCCCTCATGGTGGGTGCTTACTGCCGATGAGTCCCAAACCAGAACGAAACAACTATCTAACACATTCCCTGCTGGCGTTTTAATGTTTCTCTAACTGATATCAATCCGTGATCAGACTTGAAATTCGTTGCATTTATGAGTAAGCAACATGTGACTTAAGAATACAATTACGTAAAGATATCATGCAGTATATAAGCTATTGATATTAGATGGTTGAAGGCAATCGGCAGGAAGCTTTTCTTGACCTAGATTTCGTGCTTGTTGACACTCACCAGTCAGTCATCAAGGTGTATCTGTAATCTCCAAGGAATTCATGTCCCTTTTGAGATTCGAATCTGGGTCACACCTAGTGCCGCGCAATTAACGACCTTACTACTCAGCTATCGATCGGGCTCACAATTGACTTCCTGTAGGATCGTAGTGGATCTTTTGACTGAATATTAGTTACTATCAAATGTCTAATCAAAGCATGTATGACTATGTATCTCGTCTCACGATAAGTAGGTCAATAATGATGGTACAACAAGTACCTTGTATGAAGCTGTACTGTGTGCAACAGACCTCATAACTTCACCATAAAAACAGCAGGAAACAAACACGCGTTAACAACCAACCACCTGTCTTAGGAGAGGAGGAGCATTAGTAGTAGCTCAGTTGTATTTCTACATTCATACAATGAATGAAATGAAATGTGATGAACTGCAATTACCTGTGGACCTTGTATAGTATCAGACTTGAATGGATCACCGACTTTACGATTCTCTGCCAACTTTTTAAGTCTCTCAACCATTTGTTCATAAATTGGAGCTTGTACAAATATTCGTGTACCAGCGACACAACATTGTCCATGATTCACCATTGTAGCCTCATGGGCAATTTCAGCAGCCTTTTCAACTTGAGAAGAAAAAGAAAAGAAAAGAAAAAATAATAATGATAATAATATGCTGCAATGAATGTCATTATTCATGATAATTCTAAATGAATTCATGGTTAAGCAAAACAAAAAGCCGCATCATCCTGGAGAGAATCAAACACGCCGCCCTGGATGAAAAAATTCGACCGGAACAGGCTGGATTCAGGAGAAACAAGCCATGCATCGATCAAATCGTAACATTACGTATCATCATTGAACAGAGCATAGAATAACAGTCAGATTAAAGGACAGACAGCGGGCAACGAGGAGACTGGCATAAAGTGGAGCCACACAAAAAACTTGCAGGATCTGGACTTTGCCTATGACAAATATATCTGATTTCCCACAAACTGGAAGATATGCAAGTGATGAAAAGCAACAAGTTGGCGATAGAAGAAGCATCGAAGATAGGAACTTCAGGTGAACATAGAGAAAACAGAGGTGATGAAGATTCCTGGTCAACAGCAAGCAACAGCAACAACAACAGATAACAATCAGCATAAATGGGGAAATCTGAAAGAAGCAACCTTTTTAACCTACCTACCTACCTGGGAAGCATCGTCTCAACTACAAGTGGACGGAACTGATGAGGATATCAAAGCAAGGATCAGGAAAGCAAGCAAGCAAGCTTTCATTACTCTCAAGTCTGTGTGGAGGTCAACAGCACTCAGAATGAAAAATAAGATCCGGATTTTCAACTCCAATGTGAAGTCAGTGCTACTTACTATACGGATCACAGACTTGGTGCCGCGTCACGAAGGGCACTTCAAACAAACTACACATCTTCATCAACAGCTGTCTTCGCTCAATACTACTCAAGATCAGATGGCCGGCCAGAAAAGATCAGCAACAAATATGCAGGAAGAATTGGAGGTGGATTGGCAGCCATACTCTGAGAAACCAAACCATCATCAAGTGACATCACACGACAGGCCATCACTAGAGTGGAACCCGAATGGGAAGCGGTGAGTTAGTTGGTCGTCAGTGCGAGGGTGGGGTGACATGGAGGAGGAGGTGATGTGAAGAGGAGATGAAAGCATGTGGGCAGACGTGGAGCCAGGTGAAAACGTTCGCGGAGAACCGAACGAAATGGAGAAGTTTAGCTGAAGCCCTATGTTCCTCTAGGAACTAAAGGAAACAATAATAATAATAATGGTTAAGCAAAAAGACAAGTCAAGTATAGTGAGTGATGACAGTAAGCCAAAGTAATCCAGCGAAATCCAACCTATGTCAAGTGGCTGGGACATGTGTTGCGCATGTCGAGCTGTTGCCTTTCTCGATGAGGAGTGCAATTAGGTTGGAAAAAAATTAAGGGTGATCAAATTAAAACGAACAACAACAACAACCAGCACCAATCACCATCAACGGGAGAGATTCAACAGAGGTTACCTCCTTCATCGTTTCAACTACAGGCGACAGTACGGATGAAGATGTCAAAGCCAGTCAGAATCGGAAAGGCAAGATACGCCTTCATCAATCTGAAACCAGTTTGGAAATCTTCTACACTCAGACTAAGTATAAAGAACAAGATTCGGATTCTGTTCAACACCAATGTCAAGTCGGTAAGTGCTTCTATACGGGTCAGAAACCTGCACTACGCATCAAGAAAAGCATTTCCGACAGGCTAATGTAGATTTCTATCAACAACTGCCCACTTTGCTCGATATAGGAGATCAAGTGGCAAGCCAGAAATAATTAGCAACGAGATACTCTGGCTGGGAGCAAACCATTCAAGGGCCGATTGCTCAACAAATAATATGTGGAAGAAAGTGGAGATGGATTGGGCATACCTTCCTTATCTAGCACACTCGACCGATGACTAACCTCACTATTACTCACCCTTTTATATTATGCCACCTAACATGGGAGATAGAACGGCGACACCTATGATCAAAGGCAGCTAACCTTTTCACTTCCTCCACTTTCAACGGCCATGTCTCACAGCCATAAAGGAGGACAGAGCAAACTGCTGAGCAGTACACACGTCCTTTGGTTGACAGCCAGCCAGCCAACCGGATATCACGTCTACTAAGCCAGAGATGGCATAAGTTGGCAGGCAAATACAAAAAGAGCCTTCTGTCTCCATGATGAGATTTCATCAGTGATGTAAATTTTAATTGTGCATGACTCGATGAATTCTGATAAGCTACGCAGGAAAATACATTGACTATTTCCCTGTCTTCAGACTGAAATCCTTGAGTTTTGATCACTACAAACAGGATGTCTATACTGCTAGACCGCCACTCCATAAGATTAGAAGTTGAATTTTAAGTCTTTTACAAACTAAGGACGTAAGGAAGGAATAAAATAATACAGTGAAAATCTTTCAATGTTAAACGGAAGCATGGTTTAAGACTCTATGCAGCACGAATAGATCTGTGGAGACGGCCGGAGGGATGGGGATAATACCAATGAAAGGAAGCGATACAAGTACCTACCTAAGCAGAACATAAAACACATAGAAGGGAGAAATCTAATATCAAGGCACAGTGCACGACAATGCGCAGCAGTATTGTGTTATTCAGCTTATTGGCCACACTGCACTACTCCTGATCAACAGAACTGGACCAACAACACACAGACACACACGGTTACATTCAAAGTCGTTAGTCAGTTAGAACTCAGTTACCTAGTACTTATGGTGTGGCGGCTAATGATACTACCCAGTTGTCCAGACTGAAGTTCGTGAAGCGAGACTCGAACCCAGGACTCACTGACTGAAAGTCAAGTAGTTAAGCAGATGTGACACATCTCGAAGTCGAATTCAAACAAACTTTTTCCAATGTTTTCTAATATCTTAGCAACATGCCAAATAGTATCACAGGCAGTTAGTTAATTGGCATATGTTTACAAATGGTATACAACATCTCAAATATCATACAGTATTACTGACATAGTTATACAATGAATGATACATTGTACTCCAAAAAAATCTTTTCCAATCAAATCTACAGACAGACTACTTACGCACGCAAACGCACACACACACATACACAGACATAAACAAAGAGTCACAACTGGAAATACACAATGCACCCGTGTCTAGGTGTATCGACTTTAACAAAACGTATAATGGTTACATAAACACAATAACTGTGTCGCATATGTAAACTGGTCTGTGTATCGGATAACTAAGAATTCTCTAGTTATGTTTCTGTGTTTCTTTGAATGTGTGCTTGAGTGTGTGTGTGTGTGTGTATACATCTAGTGAAATGGAAATGAGCCAAATGTCAAATTGATTTAAACAATATTTGATCTTGTGGTTTCCGACTTTGGCTAAAAAATATGAAATACACTACTGAGAAATTCTGTGTTCAGTAGACATGTAAGACACTTTCAGCTGAAGGACATCCATGTATGATGATGACGATGACACTAAAAAGGTTTCAAGATATGGATCGAAGACCACTGTGACGTGGGATCCTTTTCAATTAACAAGAGTTGGCTTGCAGAGATTTGACTGGTCACAAGTTTGATCATGAGGTGTCATCAGTTAGAGAATCACAGGGAGTACTAGGAAACCCTTTCATCATATTTTGGGACTCTTCAGCAGTACGTACCCACCGGGAATCGAACCAAGCAGCTTCCAGCCACTAGGCTAGCTCGTAGACCATTCTCGACTACTGGGACTCGATCCAATGGCCAGTGAATTCAAACTCCTGACCATCCGCGATATGCAGCATATAGCGCAATCATTAGCTATAGTGTCATAGGCAAGTAACTGTTGTCCTACCTACCTGACTTGCCGGAGCCCGCTTTAACCTTGAACTCACAGCGGAGAATAAACTAAATTTGAAACCGAACAGCTTACAAAATACCTAAAGTTACTCATAAACATGAATAAAAGTTTTCAGAAGTCGGGATTTCATTTAAACTCTAGTGTGGCAACATTTTTTGTCAATTCTTTGCATCCCCCGTGAAACACAGGACTTCCAGCTTGAGGTTTCAAGTTTCAGTTGAGGTGGATGTTTATCTATCGGGTGGGGTTACCAGTCTCATGTCAAACATTCCCTCTTTATCGGGCTAACTACCAGGTAGGAGGAGGTTTAGGAGTGCGTCCGCCGTGAATCGGACCTGAAACACGTGCATTCGTGGTTGGGTGAGCATTCTGACACTGAACCATCAACGCAATATTACATCCATCTATTTAAACGACGACTTGAAGCATTTCCTCATGTCTTTGTCGCAGGACAATCAAATCCCTGAAACCAACACTCAATAATGTATGCTCACTAGCAACTGCCTCTATATACAGGAAAATACCTGAATTTCTGGTGAGAAGTCGTAACAAGTGAGGTTCACCGAGTCGGGTTAGGGAACAATTACTTGCCTATGTCATCGAATGGTAGTCGCGCAAACATATACATCACGAATTGTCAAAAGTTGGAATTCATGGACTGGCCATTGGATCATGTCCCAGTAGTTGAACGGTCAGAAGTTCGAACCCCACTGGTTGAGTAGGATGGTGATGCTACAGGACTGGATGGACTGGACTGGACTACATAGACTCACTCCTAGCTTAAATATAGCCAGGAGTGAAGTGGTTGGTGGAGCGTGCTTACCACTTTACTTATTTGGGAAGTTGCATTAGACAGTCCCAGAGGGTTTCTTACATTCATTCTTGCCATAATTGTTAATGAAGCTTCGTGGGTAACCATTTTCTTTCATACAGTCACTGTTACACACTGACAATAAAAAGTTAGTCATTGTTCCTTGGCTTTCTTTAGTGCTTCATTTTACTCCTTTTCTATTTTCCTTCTTCTTACATGACTTACTTGCCCCATTCTGACGAAGCCAATTTTGTTAAATATGCCGATGATCTGACTGTTTCTATGCCTGCAGTTACTTCTCAGTCAGACTGTTCCAAAGTGAATAACTTTTCATCAGAAATTAGTCAGTGGTCCTTGTCAAATGGTCTTAAGCTTAATCCCTCCAAATGTTAGTCAGGTGGTTCATTTCACTTTCAGACAAGCAAGCGCCTCTTACACATGAGCTGGTTAGTTCGCATGGTTCCACCACTATCGCAGATACCACACAAGTTGAAACTAAATCGAATGTGAAATACCTTCGACTGTGTATTTCCTCTGATCACCTTTCCTGGTCTTCCCCCCCCCCCAATCGTGTTAGTTTCCAGAAAGATATTTCGTTTGACGTCCTACGTATGGAAGTCAAGACGATCTGGTATCATTCCATCTCTACTATTACAGTTTGTTAATTCTTGTCTTCTACCTATCCTACTCTATAGCTCCCACCATCTCATCTTTCCTGGGTTACTTAACAAAGACTTTGTTACACTACGAAGGGCAGTGAAAGCTCTCAGTAGGGTGGGCGAGTGGGGTACCGTACCGTTAACCAACTGGTTAACATTGTTGTAGACAGACACTGGGACTCATGCAAGAAATTAGCGAATATCATATTGTCAAACCCTGAGCATCCTCTCTATACACAACTCTCCCCGCTTGCATCTCATCAGGTAGGTAGAACTAGAAGCAGCTATAGAAGACTGTATGCTCGGACGACTAAGTACAAAAACTCCACAATACCTTATTTCGTTGGCACACATTTTATGTGATGAGAAAAGTGTGTAAGACAGGAAATTACCAACTAACTTACTGAGAAACTCTAAGTAAACGGCATTACACTTTCGCTAATATTTTCACTTGATTTAATTTTGTATTCATTTCTTATTAAACAATATTATTAATATAAATTATTAGTAATTTAAATGCCCTGCTTTAATTATTGCCCCTGTAATCAGAAAATTAGATGCAATAGTGTACCGTACTACATGCTGAAAATTCCATATTTGTACCAAAGTACTGTTCGGAATAAAGCTATTATTACTAATTCACACAGAAGACCTAACCCTTGCATGAAGCAAGCAAGAACATGCTTTCAAGAGACTCCTTCCTTCCTTCCTTCAAAATCAACAAAAACAGAAAACACCCTTAATGAAAGGTGATGAATGCTCAAGAAAAATTCAATACGCTCAAACTCATACTTCTATCGACCAAAAGAGGAGAGAAAAAATCAATCAATAAGGAGAAAAAGGCAACTCACTATCCGCATCAGCAAATATAATCAATGGTGACTTGCCGCCAAGTTCTAATTTCACATGTTTAATATTTGTAGCTGCTGCTTTCATTATCAATTGACCGACTTCAGTACTCCCTGTGAATGAAATCGCCCTGACATCTGGATGATGAGTTAACGCTTCCCCTGTGGTTTCACCATATCCACAAATAACATTGACTACACCAGGTGGAAAGCCTCGAAAAATGAGAGAGAGAAAAATTAAACAGAGAATATTAAAATCAATAATTCCAAGTGAGACATAAAACATGTGTTATTTGTTCAAGTTGAATTTGGATTTTTCCCTTTCATTGATTGGACCGATATGTTCAGTCTCTGTCAGCGGCCGCCAGTACGGACTCTCCGACGATGTCTGAGGATTAATGTGGAGTAATTTGGTGGACGGCGAATAGCAGCAGAATCGAGGACGAGCAAGTTTCGTTCTATTCGGGACTCGTCATCCAGATACCCCTCAAATCCCAAATGATTGATGGTGTTCTCACCAAGACTTCAGCGCAGTAACTATTGTTTCAAACGCCAGAGCATTATCCACTGATGCCTGATGTTGCACAAGAGGTTGCTCTTGAGGGCAGTGGATTTCAATTTCAATGGGAACACCATCATTCAGTGATGATCGTAGGTATATATATACATATTCACCCGACGAGTTATTTATAAGAACAGTCAACAGCGCTTATCGAAATACACTGAGGCGATAGTTATTCATAGGGCTTCAGCTCCGTCCTTCTCTATGGCCCTGCAACATGGCCAATACGAGTTGAAGACATGAAAAGGTTGACTGTTTTTGATCATAGGTGTCTATGATCTGTTTCTCACGTTAGGTGGCATAATAAGGTAAGTAATGTTGACGTTAGTCGTAGAGTGTTGGGCAAAGAGGGAAAATCACTCGAAGAGGCTATTAAGTTACATAAATTGAGATGGCTAGGTCACGTGCTGCGCATGCCTCACCATCGCCTCCCCCACCGCGACGGGCATTACTAGTTGATATAGGTGCAGGTTGGAAAAGAGTAAGTGGTGGCCAAACAAAAACATGGCCTCATCAATCCATGAAATCCTTGACAGTTAAACTGAGTCAGGTAGGGAGGGAGATGCAGACTTCCGGGTTGGGGCCCGCCCTCGGGACTCTAAGAATCAATGGCTGGAGACAAAAGGTGACATGGCTCAAAATGATCGTTTTCAATGGCTTACGCAGATGTATTCAGTCTCTGTAATCTTTCATATTCCTTTCTACCATTATTCATTCTATTTCACTCTTCTACTTGTCAAAACTCCATTGATTCTCTTCACTCATTTTCTTGTCTACCTTTGTGTGCTCTTTGGAACGTGGCAACTCAAACTGCCGCACTTCGGTGCGAAGTTCTATGTTGAATCCAGACAGATAGATAGTTATTCATAGACTTGAGCCGCCTCACTCCTGTGTGGACAAAAACAATTTGATATTACTCTTAACCTTCCTTAGTAATCCTAATCTGATTCGATGATCAAACGTAGTTTTTGATTGAACACTAGTCAGTAATTAGTGTAATGTGTCTAGTCCTATCTTCGGTGCAGACTGAATTCTATCAGTCAAGCTTGCAATGTGACCACCATCCCAGTAGGTGACTCACCATTGTAATGCACTTTGAATTGCTGATATTGGATGGTTGGAGGCAATCGACCACAGGAAGCCTTGCCTGACCTAGGTCTCGTGCTAGTTGGCATTCGTTACCAAACCTGACTGATAGAATTCAGTCTGCACCAAACAAAGGACCAGACACAAACATTACACTAGTTACTGACTACTGTCCAATCAAAAATATCCAATACAGTCCTACAGTAGAAGGTCAATCGTGAGCCAGCCCGAATAGCTCAGTGGTAACGTCTCTGACTGCAGAACTCACTGGGTGACGCGGGTTCCAATCTCAAAAGGGAGGGACATGAGTTCCTCCAAGGTTGCAGATACACCCTACTGATATGAGCGCCAACTAGCACGAAACCTAGGTCAGGCAAAGCTTCCTGTGGCCGATTGCCTCCAACCATCTAAAACCAAACGTAGTGTTAATTACTCTTATTATTCTAAAATCCTTTTAATGGCTTTGTGCATTTTAATTGTCCTTTATTTTTCATATAAATTGACTTGACAAGTAAATGTATGGTCAGGTTGTTCGAAATGTATTGTACAAATACATCACACACTTTTCAGATAATCTCCGTCTTCTAATTAACATTATTCAAATTTATAAAAGGGACTAACTGTTTTAGAAATTACACCGCCTTTTTCAAATCCCTCCTAAGTCAAATGACAGTATGCATTTGGAGATGACACAAGGAAAAATACTCGCCAGTGGTCGCACCATATCATGAACTGGCGGAAGTTGGAATTCATAGACTGGCCATTGGATCGGATCCCAGTGGCTTAATGGTCTACAAGTCCACCTTGTAACCAGAAAGTCCTGGGTTCGAACCTCAGTGGGTATGTACTGTTGAAGAATCCAATCTGGGACGAAACAGTTATTCAGTACTCCCTAGTCCTTTTTTCAATGGTCGTCTAGCCGATCTCAGTTCATGATGAAATCCTGAAACCAATCAAATCAAAATCCCTGCTAGCCAACACTTGAATACAAGCCTATCTATTACGTAACATTAGCATGTGGATTCGACTAATTCATCGGCAAATAAGAATGCTATACACCATGTTGTCTCATCACTACTACATCAGCTAACTCGTGTTCATGATCACTATGACTCCTTGAACATTCATTGAATAAAACAAACACCATCTGGTTCATGTAATTAAAAGTTTCAAAACTCAATGTGATCGTATGACCTAATTATCCATCACGTCATTTTTATATACAACACGATAACACGTACACATATGCGCATGCTTAATGAATAAAACTACGGTATTAAAAAAAAGAAGAGTTAAACTGACCTCAAAAATACATAATGATGAGAAAACTTATTTGCATAATTCATTACAACTATACGAAAATATAAACAAATTAAGTTATATTAAATAATAGAAACAGTTCACTTTTGACTCGCGATGACCGAATGACCCTGGATATCGAAAATCACTGTCTTATTAAATGATACGATAGATTCTGGCGTTAAAGTGCCGGGGAGAACTATACACACCGAAAACACATACACACACAAGTGCATGATGCACTAAACATTATCCAAAAGATGGTGTTTATTTGGGGAGTTGCATCAGCCAGCGCCAGCCCCAAGGTGTTGATCGCTGACGAAATCTCATCACGGATACAGAAGGCTCGTTTAGCATTTGCCTGCCAACTTATGCCATCTCTGGCTTAGTAGACGTCATATCCGGCTGACTGGCTGGCTGTCGACCAAAGGATGTGTGCACAGCCCGCAGCACAGCAGCAGTTCACTCCGTCTTCCTATATGGCTCACTGTCAGTCAGACATGGTCATTGGAAAGGGGAAGACATGAAAAGCCTGGTTATCTGGCTGTCTTTGATCAAAGGTGTCTGCCTTCTATCTATTCCCCGTGTTAGGTGGCATAATATAATAGGGTGAGTAATATTGAGGTTAGGCATCGGTCGAGTAATAGTTAGGCAAGGAGGGAAAATCAATAGACGAGGTTGTGAAGCAGCTGCATCAATTCAGATGATTAGGACATGTGTTACGTACGCCAAGCCATCGCTTTCCTCGACAACGGACAATCTTAGCTGACTGACATAAGATTGATCAGGTTGGAAAAGAGAGAGCTAGTACGTGGTGGTGGTCAAAGCAAAACATGGCTTCATCAGTCCATGAAATCTTTAGGAGTTGTTCTGGGCCAAGTAGGGAGGTGTAGACTGTCTGGCTTCCTGACTGGTTGGGTTCCTCGAAATGGTAAAAACCAGTGGCTAGAGACAATCGGTGATATGGCTGGCTCAAAATCCTCGTTCTCAATGGATGGCCTGACGCAGATACATTCACTCTTTGTGATTTGTCAGTCATATTGGATAAAGCTGTATTGTTCTTCCATATGACTACTATTCTCTTTCCCTCACTCACACTTCTGTTAATTATCTCTCTCTCTTTCTTTTGAATCTCCCTTTACTCTCCCTCTCTCTCTTCTCTTGCTTTGTGTGCTACATTGAGGCAGTGTGGCAACTCGAAGTGGTGCAAAGTTGTTCTACGTTGAAACCAGTCAGTTAGTCAGTCAGTCTATCCAAAGATAAAATCTAAACAAACAATAACCCATTGGTCAACGCGGTTAGCTTTGTACACCATGAAAGATTCATTTGATTTCGCCGAAAGCCTGAACCATATGAACGCTTCATTCAAATAATTTCCTTGTTCATAAGGATCCCAAACCAATCAGACTATCGAGATCATTTGTCAGCATTCTGATCATCTCTCACACTTCCATTGTCGGAATTCAAACGCCTACTACTACTACTACTTATGTGTACCATGGATATACACAATTCCAGTTTGACAACACACGTTTTACCACCAAACAGTTGGTGTAGCTCTATATGCAATCCACTTAGTCCTGTTATAGTAGACATCTTCATGTACAAACCTTGAGAGAACAAAGTTGAAGCATACAATCGATGAAACAACTTCTCATTGTGTCGATATGTCGATGACACATTTGTAGTGTGCAACAATCAAAGTCATGCTTCCCACCAACTTGCTCAAATTGTTCAACGACGCACCATACAAATATTGAATTTACTACGGAAAATGAAAATGATGCAAAGTTCCTTTTCCTTGACACTGCCATGCAACGCCTGGAAGATGATAGTCTCCAGAGATCAATTTACCGAAAGTCGACATGGAATAGACAATACACACATCTTAATAGTTTTTGTCAAAATAGCTTTAAACGGGCAATAGTCAGAACTCTCTGTACTATATAGAGCCAGGAGAATGTACTCTGCAGAGAAATCAGAGTAAGAATTTATGATTCTCAAAAAGATGTTGAAAAACAACGGTTACCCTCATAGATTCATTAACAAGTATGGAAGATGTGAAGTCTCAAATGCCCAACAAATCACAATGATGTAATAGTCTGTCCTCATTCAACTTGATTTTAAAGGTGAAAATATTACAGCGGTGGTAGTCAACAGAAGATTGAATACCTCACTAGACAGAGCCTATCCTGCAGCTAAGTTGGTTCCCGTCTGTCGGACAACATGCTCTTCTTTGGTGCAATCAAAAATCGACAGATACCCTTCTCAGGTAAACTCTAGCTGTGTATACACACATATTTACATGTATCTGCAGGAGCAGTTACATTGGGATTATGGAAAGAATGGCACACCCAAAACTTGCTAAACATTTACCAAAAAGCCTGTCTCAAGGGAACAAGCGCTTTCCATAGTGCCATTGTCAAATATCTCTTCTATGCAGGTCATGAGGTGGACATCGAGAAATCCTTAAAAATTACCAGTAGACAGAATAACTCAATTCTCCTCAAGTTTGCCGAAACAATCGTCACCAAACACCTGAAACCCGATTTACGTGTTCAGAAGGATGCAGTTATCATCAGTCTTTCCTTGCCCTGGTAGTAACTGTGTGTCTTTTCTCTCTCTTTCGTGGGATTACAAAATCTTTGGATTTAACTTCACCCTTGTCTCTTGTTTCGATGATTTGAGTTAAGCTTATCTTATTAACCTCTTGTATTTATCACGTAACTCTTTCGCCATTGTAGCTAACGCTTCATTTCCGTGTTTAAACTTGAACTTCCTGTATATGAGTTATATAAGTGTAATTTCTGAATATTACTTATTAAGTTTGAAGTCTCCAGTCAACTGGTATTATGTAATATTTGCAACTATGTTAAATTTGGTTGTAGGATTTCATCATGAGCCAACACCAGTTAGAGAACCATTGGGAAAACTGGGAGTATTGGGCAGCCAGCTGTTTCGTCCTAGTTTGTGACTCTTCATAAGTATGCACCCACCAGAAGGTCCTGGATTCGAACCCCAAAGTGTGGGTGCGTGTTGCCGAAGAGTCCCAAACTAGGATGAATCAGCTGGCCACTACTTTCCGGTGGTATTCCAATGGTTGTCTAACTGATATCACAGCTCATGATGAAATCCTCCATCCAATCAAAACAAAATCTTTACAAAACCAATACTTGAAAATATGAATAAGGCATTTAGAAGACAAATTTCGCGAGATGATATATTCATTTCGTAGTTTCTTTACAACCGCTTTACAACTAACATGGTTAACAATAATAAAATAAAACAAACATCATGACAATTATTCAGTTATATGAAGAACAAAAGCACATACTCTGCTAATGACCAATCATATTTAAATAGGTCAAGTAGTCAGTCCATGGGTAGGCGAGATTAATTGAAGTCTATTGTTTTTTGTACACACAGTTTAGGCTGTATATGATTAATCCCCAAAAGTGCTTCCATCACCTTTAATAACCAACCTTGAATTAGATTTATGTGAAGAAATATTTGTGAAGCTGTCATTAATTAATATTGATTTTGTGATCTGACATTAATAAGTGCTTTGCAATGGATGATGCTGGATTTGTATTCAGATTAATTGCATTGGGATTTTCTATATGCTTTACTAACCATTTTGGAACATGTTCTTTTCGACGACATTGGAACATTCTATTGGTCCCACCTATATAGGTATCACTGCAGCTGCAGGTGAACTTGTAGATACAGTTTGAAGTAGAGTCCAGAGAATTTCGTCCCTTAATCGTAGGCATGTGAGAAAAAGAGATGTGGCGGCGTAAAATGTGGGTTTGATGGCTGACAGAAGTCTTTGAGCTAGCTGTCAACTGCTTAATCTGATCACCCTTGAATGGTAGGTTAATACCATTTTTAAATGTGATTGGTAATTAGTATGTACTTTTGTTCCGTAAATAACTAAGTAATTGTCATGGTTTTTATTTTATTATTGTTAACCATGTTAGTTGTAAAGCGATTGTAAAGAAACTACGAAATGATATCATCTCGCGAAATTTGTCTTCTAAGTGCCTTGATCAAATTTATCAAAGGGAATAATTGCTCTAACTTGATAATATGTTTAAGTTGTTCCATACATAAACTTAATAATAATAGCTTTAGGCTATAAGCAGCTGATGAGAAGCCAAAGAGACAAACAATGATGGTATCATCTTATTCTGCACAAACCAGTGTTCTTCTTCCTTTATTCAAATTCACAGAGGCGAATAAATGTATGAAATAACAGATACCTACCCCTATGTACAACACAAAAAGCAGAAAAATACCCAGTCCCAAGCAGGATTTCACTACGAACGAACATGAGGTAGAGAGCAATTGAAAACCAAGGACTACACTGTAAAACAGTTTCGTACTGGTCCGGAACTCTTCAGTAACACCACTCCACTGGGCACAACCAATAACTGCTACTTTGACATGATGGCCAGGCTTGCATATATCACGATCACTCTCAACGAGCTACCAACATGCCAGAAAAGTTGTTCGGATAGCAGTTAGACTAAAAGCAGTTTCCATCATAGTGTATGTAAAAGCTGAAGGCCTTTGTTCAACTCAAAACCTAAGGGAATAAATAATATGTGGTCTATCTCCTTGTTTCTACTCATATAACTGATAGCGTTCATTCAAAATGGAGTTTTAAGGCTATAGCGCATATTATCACAGCACATGTCAAGTGATCCACAACGGAAAACTCAGCGAGGCGTTTGGAGTAAACACAGGAGTCAGACAAGGGTGCTTATTATCAACACGGATGATATTCGTAATTGTCGTGGACTGGATTATGCATCAGACAGTGGGAAACGAGAAGACAGGGATATCCTGGACCGACATGAACAACCCAGAAGACCTGGATTTCGCGCGTGGATGATTTATGTTTGATGTCACACAAAATCAAAGACTTACAAGCGAAAACCGACAAACTGGTCGAAGAAGCGACAAAGACAGGACTCCAGGTGAACATAGACAAGATGGAGGTAATGAAAATAACCAACCAACCAACAACAACAACAACAGCAACATCCAGCACCAATCACCATCAACGGGAGGGATTTGAAAGAGGTTACTTCATTCACTTATCTAGGGAGCATTGTCTCAACTACAGGAGGAACGGACGACGATATCAAATCGAGAATCGGGAAGGCGAGAAACACATTCATCAACCTGAAACCAATCTGGAAATCTTCGTCACTCAGCCTGCATCAACAACAAAGTGATTCGGATTTTCAATACAAACGTCAAGTCAGTTAGTTCTTCTGTTCGGATGGATCAGAAACTTGGCCAGTGTGTCACAAAGAATATTTCCAACAGGTTACAAACCTTTATCAACAGCTGTCTTCGCTGGCTCTATACTCAAGATCAGATGGCCGGAAAGAACAAGAACCAACAAGAAGCTATGGGAACAAACAAAACAAGAACGAAACAATCGCCCAACAAATATGCAGGAGAAAGTGGAGATGGATTGGACACTCGCTGAGGAGGCCGTTGGGTGACATTGCGCGTCAGGCCAACGCTCGAGTGGAAGCCGAAAGGGAAGCGGCGAGTGGTTCGTTGGTGCAAGGGTGACATGGAGGAGATCGTGTGAAGAGGAGCTGAAACAGTATGGACTCACATGGATGCTGGTGACAAGTACAGCAAAAGACAGAAGCAAATGGAGGCGTGCAGTTGAAGCGCTATGTTCCACTAGGAACCCAAGGGAAAAATAATAATATATTATCACTCAGATGAACCAATTCAATTTCTGGAAAAAGTAATCACATATGAGTGTGTGTGTGTATGTGAGATGCTGCTTACCTGCTTCTTTAGTTAATTCAGCTAAATACAATGCCGATAATGGTGTTTGTTCCGCTGGTTTCAATACAACTGTACATCCAGCACAAAGACATGGAGTAATTTTAATCACACATATAACAAATGGATAATTCCATGGTGTTATACATGCAACAACACCAAGTGGTTCACGACGAGTAAATGTAACCATATTTCCATCAACTGGTAATTGTTTCCCGTGTATTTTATCCGCATAACCAGCATAATAACGAGCAATTTGTGCAGAGAATAGAACATCACCTAGGGCAGATTCGACGGCTTTTCCATTATCCATTGCATCTAAACGCTAAAAAGGAGAATGAAACAAATAATAATAATAATGACAAAGGATTTTGAAATAATAGAGAAGATTTGTAGCTCAGATGGATGATTTGCAATTAGTTGTGTTCTCTGAGCTGGTTGGTTTAATTTCGGAGCTTTCGACGTACTTCTGGACATCCCCCTTCAGAGCACATTTTATTATAAAATGAACTGATTTAAATTCTCCATGAATGATAGGATTACGTCTCCTGGTAACCATCTTCGTGACTCGTAGTCGATTTACACCACCTGTATTGATCATTTTTTTATTGACTTGGACGTGGATGTCCCCTTCGAATCAGAATCCAGGAACACAAATTAGCTGTGAAAAGACATGATATATATTCCTGTTTCATATCAATGCATATAGATAATTATGGACATCAATTTGATTGGGATAATGTCAAAATTTTAAACAGAGGAAACACCAAAAGTGTCCAAAAAATTATTAGAAGCCTGGTACTCAAGCGAAAATGTGATTAACAGACATGTTAATATAGACCAAATCTAACAACTAATAAAAAGGGCAACAAATGCTTTGAAAAGTACCATCGCTAGGCATCTCCTTGACACGGGTATGCATGAGGTGGACGTCACAAGATCGTTCAAAATTATCAATACGCAAAAGAGTTCAATTCTCCTCAAGTTTGCTGAAGCCATCTCCATCAAGCGCCTGAAACCTGATTTGTGCGTTCAGAAAGAAACAGTTATCAGTCTTTCTTTGCCCTGGTAACTGGATATTTTCATCTCTCTTTTATCTGAATACGTAATGCCGAAAGTTTCCATTGTGTATGATTATTATTGTTCGGAAGTGTTTAATATTGCATATATATATATATATATATATATATATATATATATATATATATATATATAGATCCGAATTTTCGAAAGTGATATCAAGTTAGTGCTTCTATATTCCTTCAGACACTTGGCGCGTGCGTCACCAAAAGCACTTCTAACAGGTTACTATGGATTTTCGTCATCACCTGCCTTTATTCGATATTCACGAATAAAAGACCGGCTTGAAAAGATTAGCGACAAGAAACTCTGTCAGATAAAGAACCAACCTAGGACCTGTTGCCCGACAAACATGCACAACGAAATGGACATGGTTTGGACACATGCACTGAAGAGACCCCCTAGTGATATTACACACCAAGACGTGGAGTGGAACCCAAATGGAAAGCAACGAATCGGGCGTCCGAGTGTCACATGTAGGCAATCATGGAGACAGGTAAAAAAGACTGACAGAGAAAAGAATGCAATGAAGACGTGTTTTGAAGCCCTATGCTCCACTAAGACCACAAGGATTGATCACGAGCTGACAAAAGTAACAGAACCATTGTAAAACCATCAGGGAGTAGTGGACAGCTGTTTCGTCCTACTCTGAGACTCATCAGCACACAACCGCCGGGGTTCGAACACATGACCTGATGAAGAGTCCCAAACTGGGGAGGAACAGCCATCCAGGACTCCCAGATTTTCCAGTGGTTCTCTAACTGATGTCAGCTTGTGAACAATGCTGAAAATCCTAAACCTCGACTAGTTTACTAATCGATAGTGGGCATGAGGCTGGAAACTCCACTCCGTAACAAACACTGCTACTGAGACATCAAAGTCGAAAGTTTAAAGCTCAACGTTTCCACTAGGGACGCAAAGGAATGCAATAATTGATGTACACGTCTGTTGAACGCCACCCAATACATGGGGTTAATACCTCACAAAGCAAGTTTGACGATACAATTTAACAGTGTGAATTTGAATACTTGGAAACGCAGAGATTGATGTTTCCGCTCATTATCAAAAACAAATGAAATAATATTTTTGCACAGATAACTTACAGATATGTAATCGGCATTTTTCTCAATCAAATCTGCCAACTTATAGAGTAGAAGACCACGTTGTGAAGCATCCATTGTACGCCATTTCGATCCTAATTGAAACGCTTTCTTAGCACTTTCCACGGCCTTGTTAACATCATTTTTATCAGCTTCTTGAACATGACATATCACTTGTTCATTAGTTGGATTTATTGTTGGAAATGTTTTCTTCGATACACTGTCAACAAATTCATTATTGATAAATAACTACCAAAAAAACAACAAAAGGAAAATAAAAACACAGAGAATCACTTTAAAGCATGAAAACAGCTTGAATGACTTCAAGGCTTTACTAACCAATATTGTGAAAACGTTTCTATACACCCCCAACCCCTCCCCCAACCGACCAATGCGTGGAAGAACAAAACGTTACTGCTTTTACTAACGTCTAACTGTTTAATGCTAACAGTCTTATTAAAGTTGTTATAATTATTCCCTCAGGTTCCGAGTGGAACATAGGGCTTCAACAGCAAGCATATCTCAATTTTATGCAGTTCTCTGAATTCGTTTGTCAGATAACTCCACGGTCGCCAACACAAGCTTTCATTTCCTCCTCATACTATCTCCTTTATGTCACAATTGTACTCATGTCAAATTCGCCGCTTCCCACTTGACGGCTTGCCTGGCACGTAATCTCCCTCAACAATCTCCTTAGTGTGTCTCGGGCTGCTTTCGCTAACTTACACGATCTCTGGCGTAGGCATGACATCCGACTATCAACCAAGGGACGTCTGTACTGCTTAGCAGTTCGCTCCGTCCTTCTCTATGGCTCTGAAACATGGCCAATACTAGTTGAAGACATGAAATGGTTGACTGTTTTTGATCATAGATGTCTACGATCTCTTTCTCACGTTAGGTGGTATAATAAGGTAAGTAATGTTGACGTTAGGCGTAGAGTGTTGGGAAAAGAGGGAAAATTAATCGATGAGGCTATAAAGTTACATAGATTGAGATGGCTAGGTCACGTGCTGCACATGCCTAACCATCGCCTCCCCCGACGGGCACTACTAGCTGATATAAGTGCAGGTTGGAAAAGAGTAAGTGGTGACCAAACAAAAACATGGCATCATCAATCCATGAAATCCCTGACAGTTAAACTGAGTCAGGTAGGGAGATGATTCAGACTTCCGGGCTGGGGCACTCGGGACTCTAAGAATCAATGGCTGGAGACACTAGGTGACATGGCTCAAAATCGTTGTCAATGGCTTACGCAGATGTATTCAGTCTCTGTAATCTTTCATATTCCTTTCTACCATTACTCATTCTGTTTCACTCTTATACTTGTCAAAACTCTATTAATTCCCTTCACTCATTTTCTTGTCTACCTTTGTGTGCTATTTGGAACGTGTCAACTCGAACTGGTGCACTTCGGTGCCGAGTTCTATGTTGAATCCAGACAGAGAGACAGACAGGTTCCGAATGGATCACAAGGCTTCAACAGCAAGCATATTTCAATTCCATCCAGTTATCTGGAGTCATTTGTCAGATAGCTCCACGGTCGCCAACACACGCTTCTCACACTATCTCTTATATGTCACCAACGTAATCATGTCAGACTCGTCGCTTCCCACCCGACAGCTTGTCTGGTACGTGATCTCCCTCAACAATCTCCTTAGTGTGTGTCTATTCTATCTCCATTTCCATCTTCATATTTGTTGGGTGATAGAATCCAGGTTTGTTTGCAGAGTTTCGTGTTGCTAATTCTTGGTAGCCAGTCATCTGATCCTCAGTATGGAGTCAGCGAATGCAGCTGTTGATGAAAGTCTCCAACCTGTTGGAGATGCATTCCGTGAAGCATTGACATAATATGAATGTTGGTGATCTTAATCTTCTTCCTTATGCTGAGTGTAGCAGACCTCCAAACTGATTTCGGATCAATGAAGGTCTGTCTATTAAAGTAATATTAAACTGGAATTAAAAATATTTCAGGTTGGAAAAGAGCCAGTGGTGGTCAAATTTTTTTTATTTTTTTTGATTTACAGCTTGATTCCACACCGTATTTTCAGTACAAGTGTGGAATTTTCAGCATGGATATCGGTAGCCCAAATTCAGGCCGACCATACATATCAAAGCATGGCCTCATCAGTCAGTCAAATCCACAACAGTTGGTTTAAGCCAACCAGCCACGTAGGGAGGTGTAGTCTGCCTGACTGGTTGGGGTCCTCGGGACGGTAAAACCAATGAAGGCTGGAGACAATTCATGATATGGTTCAAAGCGATCATTCTCAATGGCTAGCGCAGGTGCACCCACTCCTTGTGACTTATCCAATAAAACTTTACCGATCCTCCATATTACTATTCTTTTCGCCTCATTTTTCTGTTTACTGTCTCTGTTTCGCACTTCTTTTTACTTTCTTCTCTTGCTTTGTGTGCTGAGTGAAGTGTAGCAACTCGGACTGCTGCACTTCGGTGCAAAGTTCTACGTTGAAACCAGTCAGTCAGTCAAAAATATTTCACCGCATATATATATATATATATACATATATATCACCATCAACCGAAGAGATTTGAAAAAGGTTACTTCCTTCACTTATCTGGTCAGGAAGTACGGTTTAAACCACAGGAAGTCGGAACGAATGAAAATGTCAAGGCTCGTCAGATTCGTAAGAGCAAGATACAACTTCAGCAACCCAAAACCAGTTTGGAAATCTAGGACGAAACAATTGTCCAGTACTCTATGCTCGTTTTCAATGGTTCTCTAACTGATAACAATAGGATGTGACATTACATTTCAAGTCCGTTTTCTCTACGAATATGACCTTCCCGCATAATGTGCCTTATGGGATACTGTCTTAAGTCTTTGTTTAACATTACCTAGTACATAAAAGAAGCACCTCATTCAATTAAAATAGGGAAAACATTCATACGAAATGATTGTTTCAAATATAACTATATCAAGCATTCCATTAGTCCAAATGTATGCTAAACCAAACTTACGCCAACTATCTAATACCACTCAATAATTCCACTAAGTGCCTAGCAAGCTTAAGATTCGGAGGCCTGGATATAATGAGTACTTGGAGACACTCCTCGGATAAACCACTAATGCTTGCTAGCCAGATGGAAATGGTCGAAGCATTGGTCGAAGACACGACTTCCACTTGTCTCGAACCAGTCTCATCAGTCATAAGACAGTTACACTCAGATGTCTAGAATCCAGGTTATTTGGACTGAACTTTAACCCAGCTGGCCGACGACTAATCCAGTCCCAGACGAGAGGAACGTTTGTCTGGCGATTAAATCACTTCGACCTGTCCAGCAAGCATCATTGGTTGACGTGAGCCACTTCCAATCAATATACAACATCAGGCCATTTTCCCTTCCATAAATTCGAATAAGAAATAATGACTAAAGTCTCTCACTAATGAATTACATTTCGTGATAATATTTCGAGCAAAATTACTGCCCGTGATCACACCACTGTTGGATTTGTTTTGTTCACACATTTATGATTTGTACTCATATATATAGTTCATTAATTTTTTTACTCATTCATGTTTTTTTTTGTATTTGAGTTATGTTCCACGTTGGTTCATGTTTTTGTATCAAGAATTATATTCCAAGTTGTTGATAGTTGTACTGAGTCACCCTTGTTACATGTATCCGGTGTGACTTTAATGAATATCGATTCTGTTATTAGTAGTCTCTCTTTCCATTTGTTCATGTTAGTTTTTAGAATACACACATTGTTCCAATCGATATTGTGGTTTTTGTCCCATGCATGTGCAGCTATCGATGAATTTTTTTCAAGATTCTTGTAAGCTTGTGTTCCTGTTGGTTGACCTTTAGTTAGGCAGGCGTTTATGTTCATTCACTCTTATTTTGAGTGATCTGGACGTTTGCCCCACATATTTAGTTGGACAGTCAGCACAAGATATTTTGTAAATCAAATTGTTTTTATCCATCATTTTTATGGGATCTTTCAGTTGATTTATTTTATTTTTGATTAGATTCGTCGGTTTAAACGTTGTGCGAATCCCAATATTTTTGAGGTTTCTTTGAATTGCCTCTGATGTACCATTTTTATATGGTATTGTGACTGTTTTTTTGCATTCTTCCATCTTGTCATTCTCCGGTTTTACCCTCTTTTTTCTCTTTTTTATATTATCTTTTATAAATTCTTTTGGGTAGTTATTTTCGAGTAGCATTTTGAATAGGATATTTATTTGTTTACACTAGTCCTCTGGTGTTGTTGTAAGTCTACGTATTCTATCTGCAAGACCTTGTATTAATCCTCGTTTTACCGTGAGTGGATGAGCTGAGTAGGATAATCAAGGAATCTTCCAGAGTGTGTGGAGATATGTAGACGACACACTAGTAATAGTGAAAAAAACGACATTGAGAAACTTTTCTCACACATAAACAGCCATGTTGACTCAATAAAATTCACTATGGAAATAGAGAATGAAATTGGGGAACTGCCTATGTTAGACTGCAAAATACAAAGAATAACAGATGGTAGCATAAAAATGACGCTACATAGAAAAACTACACACTCTGGAAGATTCCTTGATTATCACTCAGCTCATCCACTCACGGTAAAACGAGGATTAATACAAGGTCTTGCAGATAGAATACGTAGACTTACAACAACACCAGAGGACCAGTGTAAAGAAATAAACGTCCTATTCAAAATGCTACTCGAAAACAACTACCCAAAAGAATTTATCAAAGATAATATAAAAAAGAGGGTAAAACCGGAGAATAACAAGATGGAAGAATGCAAAAAAACAGTCACAATACCATATAAAAATGGTACATCAGAGGCAATTCAAAGAAACCTCAAAAATATTGGGATTCGCACAACGTTTAAACCGACGAATCTAATCAAAAATAAAATAAATCAACTGAAAGATCCCATAAAAATGATGGATAAAAACAATTTGATTTACAAAATATCTTGTGCTGACTGTCCAACTAAATATGTGGGGCAAACGTCCAGATCACTCAAAATAAGAGTGAATGAACATAAACGCCTGCCTAACTAAAGGTCAACCAACAGGAACACAAGCTTACAAGAATCTTGAAAAAAATTCATCGATAGCTGCACATGCATGGGACAAAAACCACAATATCGATTGGAACAATGTGTGTATTCTAAAAACTAACATAAACAAGTGGAAAGAAAAACTTATAATAGAATCGATATTCATTAAAGTCACACCGGGATACAGCAACAACAACAACTGACAACAATCAGCATAAAT